GTAATTGATCATGTCTATCCCCAGCAGTAAAAGAAGTACAGATTAGATCAAACTCGCTTTTATAGAGCTATATAAAGTTTGCAACAAGTACAAGTGATATTTATCTTCTGAGTTGTTCTCAGTCCTTCTATCAGGATTCTGAAGCTTCTGAAAGATCACTAATGTGAAGCCATACATAAGTCAAAGTGCATACTTTGCTTATATAAGTCAAATAAAATAAGTCAAAGTGCATATTTTCGGTTAGGGTTAGGGGCTGCTTGCAATGTTAGTAGACTTAGAGGCAAATGCTCCAGGGCAATTGACATAATCCTTTTGCGTGGAAAAAAAAAACAATGAAATCAACCTTCACCATTTCTCAGTTCTTGCTATAAACTATGATACAAATAACTGAGTGGAAAACAAAAAAGTTTATTTATCTATCTGTTTTTTTATCTACTGAAAAAAATATTCCACAAATGTTTTTTAGAACAATTAATTACAGCTTAATGTTTTCCGCATAAATTGTTCTAAAATATTGTTTAGCTGAACTATCTGATTAAGGTTTTTGCATTAATCGCTTAACGCATACATGAAATCACTATTTAATACATAAAATCCAAATGGTTTTTATGTATGAAATACATAACGCTTTTTAATAAGGCCTGACATGAGTTTCCAAAATTAAATTTCCTTGTGAAATCGTTTGAAAGATATGTTGATCATATACATTTTTCAAGTTTTTAGATCTACTCAATAAACAACATATAATTATTCAATACACAGTGGAATTTTCCTACTTAACCAATACATTAAACTATCTTGATGTTTCAATATATAAAAATAAAACCAATACATATATATATTACATTTTACATACATATATATATATATATATATATATATATATATATGTATATTACATTGCAAAACTGCAAATACAAAATGTACATATAGTTTTACATTGCAACCGGTACATATAGTTTTACATTGCAAAACTGCAGCCGGTACATATAGTTTTACCGGTACATATAGTTTTACATTGCAAAACTGCAAACACAAAATGCAATTACAAACGTTTAAATTAAACCGAATTCATGCCATGACCTTAAAATTATCAATAGTGCCTTTATTGGTTTTGTCCAAAGAGCACCACATTTATGCGCAATAAGTAACATTGATGATGAGTTGTCATTTCTTATTGACGTATTTGAAGAAAATGTATATAAGAGAAAAAGTCTAGAAAAATTATTAAAGTCTATGAAAAAAATTGACAAAAAAGGTTTCACAAAAAATTAATATTTCTTAATCTCTCCAAAACATTTTGTGTCCTTTCTCTGAGATTCCTAGAATCAGGTTTAAGTTAAGAAGAGTATTTTAAAAAAAAAGGTACACACCTATATATATATATATATATATATATATATATATATATATATATATATATATATATATATATATATATATATATATATATATATATATATATATATATATATATAGATATATAGATATATAGATATATATATATATATATATATATATATATATATATATATATATATATATATATATATATATATATATATATATATATATATATATATATATATATATATGTATATATATATATATATGTATATATTTAAATATAGAAATTAATCAATAACAAGAAAATTTTATAGATATATATATATATATATATATATATATATATATATATATATATATATATATATATATATATATATATATATATATATATATATATAGATAAAAATTAGTAGAAAATCACTTGGCAAAATTTTTTCTCATTTAACACTGTGTTTCATCAATAAAGACTCATCAGAAATCTTTCTGATGAGTCTTCATTGATGAAATACAGTGTTATTTTGCTAAGTGATTTTCTACTAATTTGTAAAACTGCAAACACAAAATGCAATTACAAACGTTTAAATTAAACCGAATTCATGCCATGACCTTAAAATTATCAATAGTGCCTTTATTGGTTTTGTCCAAAGAGCACCACATTTATGCGCAATAAGTAACATTGATGATGAGTTGTCATTTCTTATTGACGTATTTGAAGAAAATGTATATAAGAGAAAAAGTCTAGAAAAATTATTAAAGTCTATGAAAAAAATTGACAAAAAAGGTTTCACAAAAAATTAATATTTCTTAATCTCTCCAAAACATTTTGTGTCCTTTCTCTGAGATTCCTAGAATCAGGTTTAAGTTAAGAAGAGTATTTTAAAAAAAAAGGTACACACCTATATATATATATATATATATATATATATATATATATATATATATATATATATATATATATATATATATATATATATATATATATATATATATATATATAGATATATAGATATATATATATATATATATATATATATATATATATATATATATATATATATATATATATATATATATATATATATATATATATATATATATATATATATATATATGTATATATATATATATATGTATATATTTAAATATAGAAATTAATCAATAACAAGAAAATTTTATAGATATATATATATATATATATATATATATATATATATATATATATATATATATATATATATATATATATATATATATATATATATATATATATATATATATATATATATATATATATATATATAGATAAAAATTAGTAGAAAATCACTTGGCAAAATTTTTTCTCATTTAACACTGTGTTTCATCAATAAAGACTCATCAGAAATCTTTCTGATGAGTCTTCATTGATGAAATACAGTGTTATTTTGCTAAGTGATTTTCTACTAATTTGTAATTGCTCTGTTCTTTTAAGAACATTGAGCACTCTTTTTGTAGAATACATTTTAAATTGTTTAAATATATATATATATATATATATATATATATATATATATATATATATATATATATATATATATATATATATAATGTATATATATATATATTTATATTATATATATATATATATATATATATATATATATATATATATATATATATATATATATATATATATATATATATATATATAATTATATATATATATAAATATATATTTATATATAAATATATATATATATATATATATATATATAAATATATATATATATATATAAATATATATATATATACAAATAGTATTGCGTACTAAGGTAAGCAATCTGACGTCATACTGAAATAGCCTGCTGCTGGGGGCTTCACTACATACATCGACTGACAAATAGCCTGACTCGCAGTGGAGTGCTGCTACATCGACTGAGGGTTTTGTGATTTTCACAACTTTAAGTTTCATGCTGTTGCACTCATCAGGTGAAATACAAATATAGATTGTTCATTAAAAAATTATATACAATTGAAACTATACAGAAATTCCTATACGGAAAAAACTATTGTAAAAATTGCGTGTATCTAATCTTCAGATTTGTGGTTGCTAAATTAAAATTTATTTTCGTGACGACATTTGAAAATTAACTCTGTTTTTTTTAGCTCTTCAGAATTTTTATAAAGTAAAATTATTAGTTTTTCATATAAAAAAGTAAACATTTTTTTTGTTGTATTGTTGTAGGCAGGGGCTTTTTTTAAGATAGACTAAGTTAAATCTGGTGTTTCTTTCAGTTTTTCCCTAGTTTCCTATATATATTTTGAGAGAGTGGTTGCATTTAAAAGTTTTTTATTTGTAAACGATTGCTTGTCGTATCATATCTCTTTCCACACTCCCTCTGATAAACCTATGTATACTTTGCTGGACGTGTTTGTTTGTTTGTTGCTCATATTTATTCAGTGGGCAGATTTCTTTTTGTTTGCAATTGCAAGGGAGATTTTCAGTTGTGTTATTTGAATTTATTTTTTTGTTGTAACTTTTTTACTGAGCAACTGTAGCTAATTTTTTTAGTGTTTTAATTGAATAGCTTATGCAATGGGTTTGAAGGTGGGAAATGCTTATCAATTAATTGCAAAATGATTTGGCCAACATTATTGTAGAGTGGGTTAAACCAAATTCATTTTTCTTTTAGGGGGTGTCCTATCTTTTGGGTTGTACTTTAAGTTAAAGTTTTTAAAACCGTTTTGTTTAAGTGCTTCTTTGCATTCTGTTTTTGGTGAGTTAAATATTTTTTTACCCAAAGAATATTGAGATAGTCATTTATTGATGGAGATAGGGATCTGCTTAAGGACTTGAGGCGGGTGGTTTAATTCAGTGTGGATTTAGAGCCATTAGTCATTTTGTTTTTTAAAAGGTTGATAAGAGTTTTTTTGATGATTAAAAGTTACATCAAGAATGTTAACACTGTTTAGATTGGTTTAAATTTGAATTGGTTTATTTGAAATCCAATGTTTTTAAATATCTTAATTATACTTTTTCTGACTTTGTCTTACTGTGTGATAATTTTTTTGCGTATTACCATCAATCCCTAGTCTTTGTAAATACTTATGTCATTTTTAGTAATAGTTTTGGATAATGAGTCTAGAATGTATAAACCCACTAGTTCGGATAATTTGGCTCTGTCAAAACATCCTTTTTTATAAAGCTTCCTACTTTTTTAATTAGATTTAGTTTGTAGCTAGTTTCTAACTACTACTAAATCTAACTGCCAACAAAACCAACAACATTTACCAATTACCCCCCAAAGATTACTTAAATATTAAAGCTTTGCAAGTAGAACTGATGTAGATATCTGGTTATATGTTTAAATGTTTTTAATTGTAGTTTTGTAATAGCAATTTATAATTAGAAGATAAAAACTTGAATCGTTTTTATTAAAACTCTATTTTCTTACTTTGTTACTAAGATTAATGAAATTTTAAAATTAATTTAATTTGAAATTTAAAATCTGTTAGTTCTGATTTAAAATCATCTGTTTGAAAAGAATTCATTCTTATTTGAAATAACGATTTTAGTTTAAAATCATGTAATTGAGTTTTAGTTATTTTATTGCTCAATTTTTTTTATTTTTTATTTTTTTTAAATTTAATTTAATTTTCTTCTTATTTTAAAGACAACTATAGCAATCAACATTGGTTTATTGGTGTTTGAAGAAATGCCTTTATATTTAATTGGATTGGGTTTTTTTACAAGCATTGACCATATTTTTCTTTTGAAAGAGTTTCCAAACATTTCACTTTTATCTCCATCGTTTATTATTGCTGGAGGTAATTATGTTTCTAAAAATATATTGTATTGTTCTTGCTGTAAAAAATTTAAAGTTGTTATAAGAAACTTCAGAGCTCTTACTTAAAATATTTTAATGTAATTTTTATCAATACTAATTTTCATTTTGGAGATTGTATTATACACCTCCCTGAGCTGCACCTTCACTACATTTAGAATGGTACTTTAAAAATAAAAGTAAAATGCAAATTATTTATTAATAAAAAAATTTAAAACTATTTTATTGGTAAACTTTTTATGATTTTTAATTTTTCTTTTTTTAATTTTTGAGATTCATAAATTTAGTAATTTTTTGTAATAAATTTAGTGATTTTGAAAAAATTGCAGGGATTAGTGTAAAAGATTTTTTTTTTTATAAACCTTAGAAAATAAGTTTAGAGTTTTTTTTTTTTTTTTTTTTTTTATTTGCATTCACTCCCAACAAGGCTGCAAGCAACCACTATTAAGTTGGGAGTTACTAGGAAAAAAAAAGAACAGAGTTATAGAGCAAGGAAACGGTTGACAGAAGACTTAAAAAATTGAAGGTTGTATGAGTCAGGAAAACATGAAGATGGGAGAGAGTTCCAAAGGATTGAAGTGCAGGGAAAAAAACTAGATGAATAAAAGTTTTTAGAGCATGCAGGGACAGATACAGAAAACGAATGAGACTTAGCTGAATGACGAGTAAAACGAGAATGAATTTTAGTTGATGGAACTAGAGATGATAACTCCTTTGAGCAGTGACCATGATAGTATCTGTAGAAAAGAGAAAGAGATGCAACTTTACGACGATGGGAAAGAGGTTCAAGCTTAGCAGATAGTCCAGGTCCAACAACATTTACAATGCGTTTTTGGACCTTGTCAAGAAGAGAGAGTGAATCGTTAGAAGAACCAGCCCAAATATGACAACAGTTAAATAAATATATCAAAAAAAAATATTTATTAAAATATTAACAAAAAACCTTTCAGTTTTTTATTAACTTATAATATCAGGCTTATGATTCAGTTTTTTTTTTTAATGTAATTATCAGGTTTTTATTAAATGGTGCGTTTTTTCTAGCAATTTAATTTAGGCACAAGCTTGGGTTTTCCCTTTTTTAATTTATGATTATATTAAAAAAGTTTTTGCTGCATTTGAGTTTTAGAAATATATATATATACATTAATATATTTATATTTTTTAAAACTCAAATAAAGCAACCCTGAAGGGTTGAAGTCTTTCGTCTTCCTGCTGACAAATGTGCTTCTTATGTATCTACTTGGATTCAGGCTGACATGGAGTCTTTGAACCCATTTCAGTAATACAACTGTTTTTTTGTTTTTTTGTTAATTTTATTTTTTATTGTTATTTTTACAAAATTTTTCATTTATGAACTATCATAGATATTTTTACTTTTATAAAGTTTTACTTTATTTAAAAATTGTGCTTATGTCTCTTTAATTTTGATTTATATCAATTGTTTTATAAAGTTATATCGCTTTTTGTTTATTAAATGTTAAAAATTTGAAAAAAAAAGGTGTTTTTTTCTGGCTGGCTTTATAAAGTGGTCTTACTGGGGTCACTGCTCTTCCCAAGTGCAATATGAGGGTTCCTGTCTGTAAGATCAATAGAACTTGAAAAATGTTTTGTTTATAAAAATAAGTGTGCAAGTTACTTTTTTTTTTTTTTAAAGCTTTTTCAATTTTCTCACATACAAAACTAAACATTTACCGAGAATGAGTATAGAAAAGGTTAGTATGGAATAGACTTACCATGTCCCATATTATACAGGTCATAGTAAGTTCATTATTCTATATATTTTTAAATCTAACTCCAAATATTTTTTAAACTTTTTTGTACGCTCTTCAGGTACTAATATACGAACTGCTGAAACAGCGGTTTGCGCAACTACTACCAAAGCGTTTAAAACTTTTCTAAATTAGTTATGTTATAAATTATTTTCTTATTTATAACTTTAAAAGGTTTACACTATGTATAGTTTTTCTAAAAAATATTGAAGTAAAGAATAGTATAGAAATGGTCAGTGTAGAGTAGACTTACCAAGACCAAAGTCCAGACAGCTAATGTATATGTATGTATATACCCTTTGCTCAACACACTGAGTGACTTGGCTCTAGTGGCAGTGACTTTGCAGGTGCTAAGGCCCACAACTTTTGCCTTTTTCAATCTCCAACTCAAATAGTCAACTTTCCAACTTGTTTTCCAGGCAACCTGAATCATTTACATTCTCTACTTGACTTATGTCTTGTTACTGATCCTAGTCAGTGCTCAGTTTCTCCACATTCAGTTTTAGGTGCTTCTGATCACGGTTTGATCTCTCTTAAACTATTATCTCATTCTTCTTCATCATCAGAACCACCTTAAACCTGACTGGGACTCTTTCCATGATTTTCTTTGTGATGTCTCTTGGGTAAAAAACTTTGATCTTTCTGCCGATAAATGTGCTTCTTAAATACCTTCTTGGATTCAGGCTGGCATGTAATCTTTTATTCCCTCTCTACAATTCCAAGACAAGCTTCGCTCTTCTCCTTGGTTTATTTCACATTGTGTTGCTGCATTTTACAATCGAAACCATTACTTCTATATCTATCAGCAAAACAATACTCCAGAAAACAGATGTCTGTTTACTATTGCTAAGAACCATTGTAAAAAAGTTTTGTCTAATGCCAAAGCCTGCTATTCTGAGGTCATGAAAACTTGTATTTAATTCCAAAAATTAGGCTCTTGTGACTTCAGGAGAATCTTTAACAGATTTAAATCTGTTATTCCACCTCTCTTGTTTGGTTCAGATTTTGTCACCTCACCTAAAAACAATAGTGAATTGTTTGCTAAGAACTTTTAATCAACTTCGTCTCTTGATTCCACTAGTTGCATTCTACCTTATATAGCCAACAAACAGGTTGATCCATTGCTTGACATTCGTATCACTCCAGCTTCTGTATCTATGTCCCGTGAGCCTAATTTTTGAATTGAAATATGAGATTTTATGACCTTAAAATAGAGGGCTTCGGCATTTGACAAAACTTTTTTACAATGGTTTCTAGCAATAGTAAACAGAAGTCTGTTTTCTGGACTGTTTTGGCGATAGATATGAAAGTATTGGTTACAATTAAAAGTTGCAGCAGCACAATGAGAGAAAAACCATGAAGAAGAGTAAAGCTTGACTTAGAATCTTTGATAGGATACAATAAAAAAAAAAAGTGCAAGCATAAAGATTTGAACTACAACAGTTTACTTCAGAAATGCTGCAAGCTTACCATTTTAGCCATTAAAACATATTGTTAAATAGATGTTTCAACACTATTTAATAAAAAAACGACTTTATAAAACTATAAATAAATGCTATAAATCAAAATTTAGGAGATATTGCTACTATGCACACATATATACTATATGTGTGTGTATCATACTATATATATATATATATATATATATATATATATATATATATATATATATATATATATATATATATATATATATATATATATATATATATATATATATATATATATATATATATATATATTTTCTAATAAAAATTTAAATAATTGACCAAAATAATATTACATTTATTAAGAATGACGGGTTTAACTCCAACATCGATTCGTCGCTAATCGCTACTTTTCATTTACTTGCTCTATTTGCTTAGTAATTATAAATTATAATTAATACTAAATATTAAATTAAATTATTAAATTAAAAATATTAAATATTAATAACTAGAAATATAAAGAGTATGGTTTCATAAACAAGCAATAACTATAACGTTTAATAAATAATATTTTTATGACTCTTTTATAATGACTTGATAAGATTTATTACATAGCGTATTTATTGCATAACAAGGTAAATTCATTCACAATTTTAATAACTTCATTCAAAAATTAATAACTTTTTTTTCTAGTTCTACTCTTACTTTTCAAATCAAGTTTTTTGGCGCAAATATTAAAATGTTATTATGTTTTAAAAGCTTTTGTTTTGTTTTATTATTTAAAGTATTTTTAATACAATTTTACTGTTTAAAAAGTTTAAAGCTCATAAAGTTTAATCGCTTTGAAAGTTATGTTATGAAAACGTAAGCGGAGGAGAAACTCAAATTAATGTATTTTTAAAATGTTATTAAAAATGCTAAGCGTTTCATATTTTAATCCAATCAAAACGTGCGTTTTACATTTGATCTAGTTACAACATATTCTATGATTCATCAATGTGAATTTGAATTAAGCATTCTGGTTGGCTTAAAATACATTTATAATGTATTTTAAAATACATTTATAATGTATTTTAAATGTCGTTTTTCAAAAGTTGGTTTTACTAAGCGACAATAATATTGTAACAAATGCTGACATTAAATTGTTTTAAATTGAGTTTGGGCTGAAATTCGGAGGCCCATACCGGTATACCAGTATCAAAATCGGCCTGGATACATTGCTTATATATATATATATATATATATATATATATATATATATATATATATATATATATATATATATATATATATATATATATATATATATATATATATATATATATATATAAAATAATGTTATAAAATAATATATTTATAAAAAAATGTTAACCCTACAACCCATCCTCAAAAAGGTGCAGTCTTTGCATAAATGATAAATATTTTATTTCAACATACAATAAAGAACCTTTGTTAAATAAAAAAAAGTGAATTGGTTTCAGCATGTAGGCACAGAAAAAAGTTTTTGCTATCAAATTTCGACACCAGTTAAATAAATACCCGTTTAGCCTGAAAACTGACGTTTTCTCGTTGCAATGCAATTTTGTATTTTTTATAACGGTTTTTATTTTAATGATTTTAAATATATAGCTGAATGATTGCAGAATGGCATGAAACTTGAAGTCCCATAAGAAAGTCGTATTTTTTTCATTTAAATATTTTTCATATATATATATATATATATATATATATATATATATATATATATATATATATATATATATATATATATATATATATATATATAT